TTATTATTAAATACATATATTAATATTAACACATTTTCAAAATTTTTAAATTTTGTTTTCAATATAATTCTCAAAACATAAAATGTAATAACAAAACACATATAAAAATTTTTTTGAGATATCTGTGGAATTGAACTTGAGTGTACTGCATGATAGACTGAATATTTTGCACTTCGTCATTACATGTATTATTTAAATATATGCTTTCATGTACCAGTACTCATATGTGCTTACGCGATATCGGTACAATTGAAGAAAGATAATATAATTGTCTATGAATATATAATATAATTGTCTACGATTTTACAAATGGACAGCTGCGGGCCCAACATGGCGATCATGGGAAGCATGGAGGGGGTAACGATGTCGACTCTCTGATTATATAGGACTTTACCTGTTCTTTATTCCTTTTATTGTGCATAGCCCCTTAAGCCCGTATCAGACTACGCATTGAAAATTGAAGATTGAAGATTAAAGATTAAAATTTGACTAATCAGAACAAAAGGAACTAAAATTTCTTTATCCTGATTGGTCAAATTTTAATCTTGAATTTTCAATCTGAGGGTGCGAACCCATGCAGCGGAATAGCGTGACGCGGAACGAGAGCGGAACCAATCACGAGCGTTCCGCAGTTTTTGCAACGTGGATTTCAAGTCCTTACATCTCCATGGAGCGTAATGAGCACACCGTGGATCAATGCGCAACCAATCACGAGTCATTATTTCAAAAGAGTTAAAACCGCATTAAAACTTATTTAACTTATTTAACATTTTTAATCAATATTTCCAATAAGAACGCATTCATTTCAATATTTATGTACACGATAATAAAGAACGACCGATAAAAACAATATTTAAAAGTCATTTTAGAGACGCAAGTAATATTACATGTAACATTCATGACACTCGTGTAATATTACATATACGTCTATGTTATATGTTGTGGTTTGCTGGGAATGAGATAGATTCCAGCTTCTTGCGGCTTAGCATGATGAGTGATATGAATTCGGTCGAGATAAAAAAAATTATATATTATTAATACTGAAAATTGATATTCATTTACATTATACACAATAGATATTATCATTAAACAAAATATATATAAAACGTTACCAGCAGAATATTAGAATCTAATCAAGGATCAAGGGATATAATTTTCATAATTTTCTTTTCTGCGTGTTTATAACATACTGCTCCTTGAAATCATTTCCTACTTTTAACAATAGTTTTTCCGCAACATTTCTGCAATCTTTCGGTGCTGTATGGGTAAGCTCTGATATTTAATTTTACAAATCTATTAAGACTTGAAACTGTACTTGCTATATAAATCCGGTTAGATGGCGATAAAAATTGTTTAATATTTGACAAACATTTGAAATTTTTAATCTCAGCTCATATTATACATATATCGTGTGCACGACACGCGTACGTCAATTTACATAAATAGGAAACGCTTTTATCAATCACACAATTCTATTTTTACAATTTGTTTATGTATTATCGACGATATATTAATAATGTATAAACTAAAATCGGAAAAAAATTACATCAAAAACGATGTGACAAAATGGTACGCGAGTAACTTTCTTCCTTTAAATATAATTTGCATTTCAATTGTTTGCTTACATATCCCTGTTCTCGATATCATGTATAAATGTATTTCTTTTTATTAAGTATATGCGCGGGAGCTAATTTATATAATATTCTATCATTCTCTCTCTTTTTTTTTTTAGAAAAATGAAAATGTTTTAATAGAAAAAAATAAAATGTGGGTTATACTAATATTCTTAAACAAATTTTAATTACCACGACAATATCTTTATGGTCTTAATTTTATTATGTATAGCCGTTATATATATATATATTTTTTTATATATATACGTATATATAAATCATAATTATGAATTTTAATTTTTTACTTTCTATGATATCAAAATTGGCCTATTAAATATATAAATATATGTTTCGCATGTGTGCTATTTCCATCCAACTAATAAAAAGTCAATGGAAATATACCTTGATCATTTGTGTGACTCATATTACCATCATTATGCGTATACATTAAAAAAGGTCTTCTCACTTATGTAGAAACTGGTACTCCAAAATATCTTCCTCATCTGCAAAAAATAAAAACACTTCATATTCTAATGTAATGTAAATATAAGTGAATATAAAGTATGATCAAGCAAACAAAGTTTTGCAAGTTACATAGTTTTGCTAGATTTATATAAAACAGATAATAAAAAGCATTCCGAATTAAAACTATGTCACATGTATATGGAAAAAACTGTCTACTACTTTTAACCAATTTAGCAAGTAAACACTGCTAATAAAATACACACATAAAAAGTGTCATGGAATTATTTTTAGCTGTGTATACGTCCAATGATCAAACTTAATGATATAAATTGAGCGAAAAACTGCGTAAAAAGCATAGCGAACTATTACATCGTTCAACAAAAAATGACTTTTTTCGAACACCGAAACGGGATTAGTCATTTCTTATAGGTTTTTGGACGTTGAACACGAATTCGGTTTCGAAATTACTCCATCAAGTCAAAATTTTGAGAAATTTGCAATTAAAGTTGCAAAAAAGGGTTATTTTCACGAACTTTGTCATAGTATAACTACAATATGTGACGTGCTGGAGAAGTTTTATTACAATTAAAATAAAGTATGTTGTTAGGACTTTCAATCCTCAAAAGAAATTTTTGGTGTCGGTTATGGTTACTAACATATCCATGGTTAAATATGGGGTGTATTGCAGAAGTTAGCTGTGACTTAGGTTATTGACGATTTACCAAATAGTTTTTAATTATTATTTAAAGTTAAGAGTTTTTTAGGTTGCTGAATACGAATCCAATGTCAAAATTGTCAAATTCAAAATGGTGCACTCGAATGTTTAGATTGTAATCTAAACATTTTTTAAGTTTTGATATCCGCCATATTAAATCCACCATTTAAATGAATATAATTGAAAGCTATTTGGTAAATCGTCAATGACCTAAGTCACAGCTAACTTCTGCAATACATCCCATATTTAACTATGAATATCTTATTAACCATAACCGACAGCAAAAATTCCTTTTGAGGGTTGAAAGTCCTAACAAAATATTTTATTTTGATTGTAATAAAACTTCTCCAGCACGTCACATATTGTAGCTTTAAAATGATAAAATTCGTGAAAACAGCCTTTTTTGCAACTTTAATTGCAAATGTCTCAAAATTCTGACGTGATGGAGCAATTTCGAAACCGGATTCGTGTTCAGCGTCCAAAAACCTATAAGAAACTAGTCCCGTTCCAGTTTTTTTGTTGTTGAACTGTGTTGTGTCTTGATAAAATAAAATTGCACTCACAGATATCATCTCTGCTATTGTTGTCCAAATCACTAGTTTGTGTATGAGTCTCCTCGTGTAGACGCCGCCCTGCATCAACCATCAGCGCGCAGCACAAAGCACAAAAATATCTCGGTTACATATCTGAGATGGTGCAATATGTACATACTAATGATATAATGTTCAAAAGCATGAAAACTTTTAATAGATTTTTTTTCAGAACAGGGAGGCGATACTAGTAAAAGGCACCCTAAAAAACTTTTAATTAATGAATATACGATTTCAGAAAAATCTATACTGACTCCATTTATTTGTATGGTAAATTATTACCCAACAAATGGTAAAAATAGAGTCTTAAGATTTGTCAAATGTATTGCACAATCTGTCTGTAACATAAGTATATGTGGGATTTACATACAATAAAATTATTAATATTGTCATATGTGACACAAATCGACAAGTTTTGTACATGCGCTTATTATAAATATTCAAATTAAAGTTTATTAATAGTTATTAAGTTATTTATAGTTTATTATAATTATTATAGTTATTAAATGTATGTAATTCATAATTCACATAAAGTATCATATGCAATTTTCCGCGAAACATTGATACGACGATAAATAATACACATATATGTACCTTAAAAAAAAAAAAGATATTTTTATGAATCAATTTTATTAAATGGAATCTGGTCATATAAGAGAAGAAATTAACGAGTCATACAATCATTTATATTATATAAATAAAACATGTAATTGTATTAATTAGGAAAATTGCATAACGTTTACATTGCACACAAATATAGCTTCATAATAAAATATCAGATAAAATTTAACAATTAATAACGGAACAAGCTTTTTGTCAAAATATTTAATTGCTTTTGTTGAAATATTTATATTTCTAATCAATAAAAGATATTTTAGATATAAGTTTCAAAATATTTTTTTGAATATACATACATATATATATATATATATATGTGTGTGTGTGTGTGTTTCTACATTTATACAAACATACATACACCACACATATACAGGTATATACATGTGCATGAAGCTATATTTGGCTATTACTGTATCATCAAATGGTGGAGCATATTGTACACACAAACTAATGTTTACTTTCCTCTATATAAATAATGTGCAACAAATAAAATTAAAAATATTTCTTGCCATTATTATATTATTAAGAAGAAAAAAAAGACTAACATGTACAACATTATATCATAGGAATTCAAAATTCTTTTGTGCTCGACACACTGTATATATATAATAATATAACCCTTCTTATATTAGAGCATAAAATCGAGCATAGAAAGACATTTCCTCTTTATAGCAATGTACTAAATAAATTTGACATAATGGCAAGACAAACGTAGAAAAGTTTTGCATGTTGACAATATTAAAGTAATATTTAAAAACTTAAAATATATATGAAAGTTGTATCATTAATTGCAAAATATGAGTGTAACAATAACAGTAAAATAATCTAAGAAGAACATACATATTTGCAAGCATCTATATAAAATAAATCTTGCAGCTTTTTCTATACTTCTAATATTGATAAGATGGCACATTTAGTATGAGCGTAATTTGTATATATATGTACATTTTATTCAATTTGATATAATGTCGTATATTGTAAAAAGTTCGATTTATACTTTCGATTTTACGAATTAATATATAAGAACTTTAATCAATGAGTACACGCACTATGTATAAAAGTCCGCATATGTGGACGTTGTAAAAATTTTTTGTTTTTTTTTCTAACCAGTTAACAATTTAACAAGGACAAATAATTTCTATACACATGGGTATTTTTACGTAATGTACCAAACATTTTCAAAATAAAAATAAATTAATTATTGGTGAGAAAGGTTGGGAGGATATTTAGAATATCCTCTCGATTTTAAAGAAATAGCTGCCCCATTGTCGTAGACAATCCTAAAACGCAATCAATTAAAAAATATTAATAGATATATGCACATATCTCCCTATATATATATATGACATAATATATGTATATATGACATAAATTACATGCATATGCAGAAAGATTGTTGCAAATCTTAATAACATTTGAACCATTCATTGAGGTAAACTATGTTATTTACATGATCATTTATGTGCTTTGTCTTGTGCGATTGTGCTGCTAAAAAAGTAATGATTACCACATCATAGTTACATAACATTACACTTGCAATGAAGCGTGCATAATTGTGTGTAAATATATAAGAACATATTGTGGTAAAGAGACATATGTGTGTGTAATTACGTTTTTATAGTACTGTGAGACACAGGAAATAAATTACTAAACAAGTTTTAGAATAGAAGATCCATCATGCAGAGAGAACATTTTGTTGTTATCAGGACAAAGTTTATGCCTTGATGTTCATTCCGGATTCTCTCATACAAATTTTACACACTCTTATTAATATGTAATTATAATTACAGTGTGTATGTCAAAGATTTTTTTAATGGCATAGTATATTAACATAAAACTGCTTATATTATTTATATGGATATGTAATAACGAACAAAAATAGGAAAGATGTCAATTTTACATACCAAATATTACACGAGAGAATAAACAAGCATTTGTCTATAACTTACTATGTATATAAAACAAGACACTTTTTTTTCTTTTTTTCCTTTTTTTGCTTACTTGGATATTATATTGTAATGTAACACTTTCAAATTATATTTCTCTATTACATGCAAAATATATCTCGAAACAACCTTACAAATGCAACTTTTTAAAATACTGTTATGCAAGATGCAGAATCGGAATGAAATACAAACGATAATGTAAAGATATGTATGAAATGAATTAAAAACTTTTTAGACCCTATCCTTAAATTTGCTAAATCGAATTAGTGAATAAATACTTTGAATATGAGAGAAGCGATAGCAATTATTCATGAATTTTGAGTGCATGATAGATTTGTAATAATTTATTAATAGAAGATAGAAAAATATAAACAAGAGTAAATATAAGAAAATCTGAAAAAAGAAAATTCTAATAAATATTTGTTAATTTTCATTTTGCAAACATAGAATGATGATATAATGCATGCTCGCACAAATAAAATAATTCAAAGTATTTGTTCACGACATAGTTAGCTATATCCTGTACTATATATTTTTCCTATTTACAACATCTACATAACATCGACAAAGAATTCACAAGGATTCCCCATTGCAATGCGAAATGACTGTCTACTACCAGATAAATCTTGTTGATTCTGCTGATTCCCTGATCCTGTTCCCGTTTGAACAGATTGTTCGGAACCACTAGAACGACTGCGACTTCCGTTAGATCTCTTTCCATTCGATCCATTACCATTGCCGGAATTTTTGCTTGGCATTGACGGCATCGATGGATTATGTAATTCTGATTCTGATGCCGAAGAGCACGATTTTAGATCGTGAATAGGTTCTTTGCATATACGTTCACTACCTGCACTGCTACCACCTATTTATATCAATATACACACATAAAATATATGTTTTGAGAAAACAATTTGTTTATTAAATATAAAACAAATAAAAGAAATGCTCAGTTTTACCCGAACCACTATGCACGCTCTCTTCTCGATGGTAACCATAGACAGTGGGCTCATTTGTAAAATTAAATGGCATGGGACTATAACCAGCCGCTGAATGTGGTGCATATGTTCCCGAATAAGGCATGTCCCAAGCATTTGGCGGTGGCAAGGGACCAACTGTATCACAATCTAGTTTCATGCTACTCATCGCTGAACATAGATCACCAAAAATGTAATAGCATTGTTCGGAAAATGTGATTTTGTTCACTGTATGCCGAATAAAGCCAGCTTTTAGCATGAGCGATGCATATTTCCTAGCATCGCGCCGATCAATAAATCCTTCTACGTGCGTATTCAGCCAGTCCACAACATCCGCACCGATAAATGCATTTGGAATGGTAATTTTAAGCCACATTCGATCGCGTATCTCTAAGCCTGAATCAGATCGAGCCATTGCTCGTACTACTGTCGGCATGTCGGTGTTGACTGTTAAATGAAGTTCTTCCAATGGTCCTGAATCAAATATGTCAATTCAGTATACATAAGATCTATCGAATCGCTTCTTTTGCACCCTCTCATCTATTCCATTTTTGAGCAATTTTGAGTAATTTTTTCTTTTTTTTAAGAAAAAATATTTTGAAAAATTAATATATTTCCGAAGTTTAAAACAATTAAAAATGGAAATCTCTTTTCTTTAATTTAAAATATAAACTTTCACTTAAAAGCATATTAAACTTTTAATTAATTTCAGAATTAATGGTTTATTGTAATAACATTTAATATTGAAAATTTACATTTCGTTAATTTAATGCGGAAATTTAATTTAATAAGGAAATTTAGCGTTAAACCATTTCTCATCATATAACTTACGTTCGGTATCTGGCAGCGTGCTCGCAAGACTGCTCGATGTTGAAGTTAATGTTGTGGCACTTGGTGGGCGAGGCGGAAAACCTTCACCTCGTATAGCGGCCGTATGCGCTACCCATGCACCAGGATCGATGGGACGTACCGGTTCTGTGCGAGGTATCGTAAAATAACCTTTAGGATTTGGGTCCCAACATTTTGCAACTACAAGTTTTATTGGTCTAGAAAGAAAGTATAAGGAATAATATAACTTTACATTCTTAATAAATAATTATAAGTGAAGATATATCATAATTAATACACATACCCTGGTTTTTGCACTACTTCGCGTAATACTCTCACCGCTTCGTCATTAGACATATTTTCGAAATTAATATCATTGACTTGGAGAATCATGTCACCGGGTTCTATTCGACCATCTAAAGCAACTGCTCCCCTATTTCAGACAAGTTGTACAGCAAACATAGACAAGTTGTATAGTAAAATCACTTATAACACTTATAACACATTGATTGTAAATATCATATTTGTGGTAGAATCAGTCTTACTATAGACAAATACTAGCTATAACATAAAGCAAAAGTACAGAATCTGCTCTGTTCCCACATGATTTAGTACAGAGATTATTAATAAACATCTTAAAGTATTCGCTTACAAGTATCATATTAAATGATACCCGATAGTTTAACAGAGATATTTTACTTTATATACTCTAAATCGTTGGTGAAAGATTTAACACAATTTCAAATTAAATATGACTTTACTAACATGTAAGTAACTTTTGATGGAATTATGCATACTAACCCTTTCATTATTGAACCAACATATATTCCTCCATCTCCACCTTTGTTACTTTGCCCGACAATACTAATACCAAGGAAATTAACAGTATCCATATTCAGTGACACAGTTATAATATTTAAAGACATTGTACTGTCAGTAATACTACTAAACGATGACGTTCGCGACATGGGTGGTAATCTATGCCGCCGTCTTCTTTGCGGTCGACGTCGATCTGTAAAAAAAAAAAAAAATTTATGAATTTGCGTTTCATGTATGCCAAAATAAAACAAGAAATTTTTTAGCTACATGGTTTTGTATCCAAGATATGGATACAATATAAGATTTTATAAGAAATCTTAATAACATCTTTTCATATTGTTTCAAGTTATTCATACCCAGAGTGCCTCTATCAACTGTGCTACTCATATTGGTGTGCCGACCTGTCGTCGATGTGATACGACTACTCGCATCATCGTCAGATTCCAAAAAAGTTGTTGTTTCTAAATCTGAACTCAAAATGGAAGCAGTTTCATATCCATGACCAGAGCGATGTTTCGAATGACCATTTATACGAAGTCCTGTGAAATTTCTCGCAATTTAAAATAATATGAAAAAAAAGTATTTCATGTTAAATATCTCTTGTTGTTATAAATGTCCTAATGTATAAGAATGTTTATCTATAAGCTTTTTTATAAATATGTGAAATAATTTAAATATAAAACAAAATATATATATTAATATTTAATGAAAATGTCACATCTCTCTAATAGTAACATACCATTATATTTATTGTACTTTTCATATTTTTCTGAATGATGTCTCGAGCTTTTATGTAAATGATGTCCTTGTCGACTGCTTATAATACTTTCCGTCTCTGTCAATGTATCGTCGTGTGAAAGTGGAGCTGTTCCCCTGTTACCATGTCCAGAAGTTATATGATCTGCACGATCATGTTTTGCTTCACTGTGTGCCATAGAGTCTGTACACTGGGATGCACCATCCGAGACATTGCTACCTTCGGCGGATACCAGCTGTCATAAAATATTGCTTCATTAAATAACATATTTATTAAAACATATTTTAAATAGAGAATACTCCACTATAAAAATAAAAACATGCACATACATGTGTCATATTTTATATCTGATTCATAGAGGCCAAATATTAAAATATGATACTTTTTACTTTGTCTACTTTTTGTTTAAAAATTTAAACAATATCTATTCAAAAAAGAATACATTATTGTGACCCTTACCCAAGAGACAACTCGACCATTGAAACATGGCAGATGAGCATCATCATCTATAATTTCCTCTTTTACCACGCTAATATAACAAGAAAACAAGTAAATTTAGTACAGAAGCATGTATTATTAATATCAAACCTATAATAATAATTTTCGATTTGCTATTAAGGACTAACAAATATACAACAAAATTGTTAATAATCCTTATTTCTCTGTACATTATTTTACACGTATATATTTAACAAAGTCAACTTTTAAATATGTATTATGATTGTGTTTTTCTAATCATTGTAAAGATTTATTATATCGTTACCATGGAACAAAGGTCTATCAATTTGTTTAAAGTAGCATAAGGATTATATTGTACAAGTAGATTGCAAGATAGTAAGAGTAATAATACGCCTTACGCCTTAAAAAATATTATTCAATCATCTACATAACATCGTAACAAGGGAACTAAAGAATTATTCGCTGATATCGATATCACTAATAAATTGTAAGTTAGAAGAGTGCGTAAGTAGGTAGATAGATATGACGGATGTGTGTATGCACACGCGAACGTGTCACAATACGATTGTCAGGACAATAATTCGCATTAAAAGAACAATTTGTTGTCGTGCATAACAAATGTAAAATTTAATATAGCGTAACATAATGTTACATTACGTGACATATACAAAGCAACAAATTAGCAATATAATGGAATACCTAGTATTGCCACTTACCCGAAGTCATCGTCCATTGACTTGAAGAAATACTTGTAATTCGGCCGATTTAAAACGTTCTTGAAGTCTGCCAGGGTTACCCTCTCTGGCGATATATTGAGTTTCACCAGGTACGGTGTCTCCTCATCATCCATGTGATAGATAATCTTCGTTTCTTCCATCGTCTGGAGTGTGTATCACACTGGGTTCATTCGCGATATACGAAAAACGATACGCTCGCTAAATAGATTCTACCGACTCAGAAGATATTCTTTCAAACCAACATGGCGTGTCGTGCATCGAGCCAAACCCCTGGTGTGTACAAAGATCGCATGTTCACGGCTCGTGAAATCTCACGACTCGCAAATCTCGTCACACGAGGACGTAATCGCGCGATGTTGCACCACTAGGAAGAGGTTACTGGCATTATCCGTTGAATCCATATAATATTCGTAGCGATCGCGACGATAAATTAAACGTCAACATCGTCAGCCTTGCGTACACTTACACATGCATACTTACTACCTAAGAATAAAGAATAACAGGAGTGAGTAGAGTCCTATATAGGCCGTGTTCCGATATTCACTGCATTACTAAAAATCTATAGTATATGTCACGTAAACTATAGATTTTCAGTACTGGCAGTGAATATCGGAACACGGCCATAATCAGAGAAGCGACCATAGACATAGTATATCTAGACCGAGCGTTTGCCTTTATTTAAGAAGTGGGGACACTCCTCAACACTCGGTCTAGATATACTATGTCTATGGAAGCGACATCGATAACCCCCCCATGCTTCCCATGATCGCCATGTTGGGCCCGCAGCTGTCCATTGTAAATATACGTCTGAGGCTGCGGTCGGGAAGACGCTAGAGATGCTTCGAAGCATTACATTAACCAATCAGAATAAAGAAATTTTTACTCTTTTTGTCCTGATTGGTCAATCAAACGTTTCGAAGCATTTCTAGCGTCTTCCCGACCGCAGCCTGAAACAGTGAATCGTAAATATATGTTTGGAGCAGTGAAAGGGTAAATAAGAAGTTGAAGTTTCCGAATATCACATCGAATTGAGAAATGCAGATCAATTCAGTAACTGACATTGATATAGTATAGGTTATGATATGATATAACTCTAACTCACACAATATGTATATCTAAAATGTTTTTAAAATGTCTCAGAGATATTTAAAATATATTTTTTTTTTTTAGAAAATAGCATTACAAATATACTTTTTTCTCACTTAGGGTCAATTTTACCAAGTCCGGTTAGATGAACCGACGGTTAAAATTAGCAGGGTTCCAACTGAAATGATATGAATACTTGGTTTTCCTTCACCTCTATTTTCTGTTGGCCACCCTGCTAATTTTAACCGTCGGTTCATCTAACCGAGCTTGATGAAATTGGCCCTTATGCCCGTATCAGACTATGCATTGAAAATTGAAGACTAAAGATTGAAGATTGGAATTTGACTAATCAGAACAAAAGGGAGTAAAATTTCTTTGTCCTGATTGGTCAAATTTCAATCTTGAATCTTGAATCTCAATCTTCAATGCGTAGTCTGATACGGGCTTTACGGTACGCCGGTTGTGGTTAGTTTGCACATAGGATTCACTATGGGACCAACATGGCGGTTAGCCAATCAGCAAGCGGAACGCCATTGTCGCTTCCATAGACATAGTGGGTGTGTTCCCTTTTTGCCGGCGTTACAACCATCCATGACGTCATAACAGTTCACTGCCGCAACGTTCCGAAATTACTTTGGCACTGTCAGTAGCATTATGATTTTATATTTCGGAACGACTTTGCAGTAATTATAGTGCAATTCTATTTTATTGCACGACGCCATGTTGCACTGTAACTGCTTCACCTCGGGAGCTGCAGTAACCGCAGTAGCAATATGGCTACCATTTATGACGTCATTGATGGAACTAGATGCTGTCGCAGCACACTGCGTGCTAATAGCGGAACAATTCCAAAGTGAAGCAGTTACAGTGCAACATGGCGTCGTGCAATAAAATAGAATTGTTAGATGTAATAATTGTTAAATGTAATGTTATATTCTTCTTCTTCGGAAGAACTATCACTGTTTTCATTTAAAATTTCTAATGCTATTAAGCAAATTGATAATTTACGATGCTTGTCCATGTTTGTTGTTATTATGTTTCACTGCAATATAATTACTGCAAAGTCGTTCCGAAATATAAAATCATAATGCTACTGACAGTGCCAAAGTAATTTCGGAACGTTGCGGCAATGAACTGTTATGACGTCATGGATGGTTGTAACGCCGGCAAAAAGGGAACACACACTTTATTGCACGACGCCATGTTGCACTGTAACTGCTTCACCTCGGGAGCTGCAGTAACCGCAGTAGCAATATGGCTACCATTTATGACGTCATTGATGGAACTAGATGCTGTCGCAGCACACTGCGTGCTAATAACGGAACAATTTTTCAGCACTGCCAGTACTGGCAGTGTATATCGGAACACACCCAGTATATCTAGACCGAGCGTTTGCCTTTATTTAAGGAGTGGGGGTAAAGATGCACGTAGAAAAGAACATACTCTGTTTCGTGCCCCTTGCGTTCTCTCTCGCTCGCACGTAGCATGACGAAAGAGAGCGCTACGCAAGGGGCACGAAACAGAATATGTCCTTTTCTACGTGCACCTCGGCTCCCACTCCTCAACACTCGGTCTATATATACTATGTCTATGGTCGCTTCTCTGATTATAGGCGATTTTTGACGATTGTTTGGTACATGAACCAGGGTTGTCATTGATAGGAGTGGAGCTTATTCTGGTACATGTACCAGCAACTATTTCACTAAAACATACTGGTTTTTTTCTATACGCGCCAAAGAAAATTTACTGTTATATAGAGACATGAGTTTCAAAACATATTAAATACTCAAAATAAATTTAACACAAATTGATATGTAAAAAGCATAGTATTATATTTGGCGCATATTTGCAACTTATCAGTAACTAACAACATATACCCTGCTTCACTGCTCGGTATAGCTCGGTATAGGTGGTATCAACCAGGTAGATACCAAAATGGCTAGCCACGCCTGTACCACAAATTATTAACCACGCGAAAACATTCTGGTACACATTGGTACATATACCAAACGATCGCCAAAAATCGTTTTATATAGGACTCTAAAGCCCGTGTCACACTACGCATTGCGGACGCAGATCGGATTTGAATTACGGACTGCAAATCGTCAATCATCCAATCAAATTCTTGGCTACTTCGTTCTGATTGGATGGATGACGATTCGGAGTCCGTACTCCAAATCCGATCCGAGTCCGCAATGCGTAGTGTAACACGGGCTTAAGGGCGCGTTCCACTTAACGACCGCTGTGGGAACTTATGTGAAAATTACTAGACTTTCGTTACATTTAATAATAAATGTTTAATCAATTATAAATGCATGTATACAATGTCAAATACAGGGAAATAAAATAATCAATGTTTTTACAAACAAATAAATAAATATCGTTACTAAGTAACAACAAATCAGTAGCATAATATCAGAGAGAAGCCTGAGAGCGGCCATGCCAGCGTTTTTCGTACGATAGCTTTCGATCCCGTACAGCAGCGCCTCTACATTTTACAGACGCTTGGAACTACATGGCTACGTCCACTTTCGGTGGCATGATAAAACAACCAATTGGTTCATGTCCATGCTACGTCACAGATTAATAGACAGATAGCCAAAGGCCCGAATGAAGGCGAGACCAGCATTTCTCACTGGTTTCAGCGCCATAACGTAGTAGTGGCCAAAACAGTAATTACGTTCCCAAGATCGATCACATTGACCTCACCCTGAAAAGGTTACTCAAGATCAAGTCCATATTTTTGTCATGTGGCCCCCTCGAAACCATATAACTTTTGTCTGAAACATTTCTTTCTATCTTGCTTTATTTTTTAGATATTTAGGTGTCTCAATATAAATGCTCCACCCTGTATATACAGTGTTTAATAATATATTTATCTCTCTTTTACAAATTTTCATAGTTTCTCATCGGCCGCTTGTCGGCAATAAGCTTGTAGCGAACGAGATGAGCATTGAGAGTGAGCAAAACGAATATACGAATGCAAGTAAGACAATATAGGAATAAGACAATCACAGAAGCAAGCAAGAAGAAAATAGCAACATCCAAAGAAGACTCGAAGATCGAGCCTTTACCGTCCTTTTTCTTTCTTGCTCTTATATTATTGTCTCGCTCGCTTCTGATAATAAGACAATAATAAGAGTGAGCGAGACAATCACAGGAGTGAGCGAAAGAGAGGAATAGCAGCATTCATAAAAGCTCGATCTTGATCCTCGAATCTTCTTTGCACGTTGCTATTCTCCTCTCGCTCACTCTTGTCATTGTCTCGCTCACTCTTATCATTATCTCAGGAGCGAGCGAGACAATAAGAGGCAAACCTCTCACATTTCATTCGTCTCATGATGAATTAGCCTGAACTTGCACCAGGGGCAAAGTCTGTTGATAAAATCAAAGGAATTTAGCCTGTACTCGAACCAGGGGCAAAGTCTTTTGGTAAAGTCAACGGAGTTTAGCACAGACTCAAACCAAGGGCAAAATGAGTCGGTAAGGGGCAAAGTGTGTTGCACGGAAATGCCGGTCTCGCCTTCATCCGAGCCTTTGGCTATCTGTCTATTAATCTGTGGCTACGTCCACTTTTCGATACTGTCGGTCTCGGTTCATGTCCGTGCTACATCCACTTTCGATATTGTCGATGCTGGTAATACACTGATCGTTTGACAAAGAGAGATGATTGCGCTGTCTTTGTCTTTCTTTCATCGCGTATGTGTGTAGCGTCCGTGGAGGCACACACCGATACGTTGAGCACACGGATGCGATTGTGAGAGATAATGTCAGACAAGTAGCGACAGTCGCGTGCTATTCTTGTTCCTCTAGCGTATCGCTTTATGGCCGAAATACGGCTTGAAAATGCTTTCTGGCCTCTCATGACAGCAGTAATGCAACAAGGCTAATAAGCGCCCACTTTATGAAAATTTTATACTTGCGTATATACATATGTAGATATATATGTTTAAATTATATTTAAAATTGTACCTACAATTAAATATTGTATGATGATCAATAATAATAGGATAATAGATAACAAAAAAAAGTGAATAACTAAAAAATTCGCAAGACGGGTGCCTGCTAGACTTGATGATTTGTTGCTGTTTGAGATTGCAGTAAATTACATTTAAATTAATTTCTTCTTTGTCACATGGGCTTCGCATTACTATTCCATTGCGATCAAAGTCGAAAAACAATGTTCTTATCGCTATTATTATTTAAGGTTTTTTGGTGTTTCTTGACTTTTGAAGCCCATGTGGCAAATAAGTTTTACACGAAAACACGCAAACAACTTTGTCGGTTAGCCGCGCGATAAACGGCTGCCGGCACGCGCGAAGCCGTGACGTAGCCCGTGACGTACGGGCCACCGGCCTATCACTCGCTCCGAATCTCATCTCGCGCCGATATTTCAAGGGACGGCCAATAAAGT